ATAAAGTAGAAGAAGTGTCCATAGAAGCAAACCTGTGGTGTTAGGTGGAATTATCAGCGCAGGGCTGAGCTTCTCCAGATAACTGGTTTAAGGAGGGTGTTTGGTTTTGGTTTTACTAAAGCCCTAGTGCCCTCTAGTGGGAAAATTGAGCAGCCCAGCATCTATAGTGAAGTGGTTTCTCTTTAGAATAAAAGATTGCTTCTGTTCCCCGTTATATGTTTTGGATACCATATTTCTTTTTTGCTAAGTGTTTGTATTTCCTCTGCTTTAAAGTCACAGCCTTTTTATCTCGGTAAGTAAAACTGTGAGAACTGCATTACCATGAGTGAGGACAAATATGCTTAAGATACTTCTGGTCATAGACCATGAGGAAAACATTCCAAATTTCTTAAGTCCATCCTACAAAGTGTAATGTATACCAGAGAAGTTTATCTGACATGTAAGTAACCCACATTGAGTAGTTTCCCCTGGTTCTGTTACCCGGAAGGAACTTAGATAATTGCTTAGAATTGACTCCCACTGATCTGCAGACACCTGGTACGAGCTCTGATGATAATAGTGTGGGGGAAGTCCAGAAACATCCATCGGCATCAAGGTAAAGAGAGTGTGGGGTGTATGTGAGTAAACAGCTTATTGACAAGCTTGGGCTAGACACGTGGTATTTAATGCCTGTGAAGTCCGCCTACCAGTGACATGCTCTGTTTAGCTTCGCTTCTCAGAATACACCAAAAAAGAGGGCAACAATTAAACGCAGAGTTCTGCTATGTGGAGACCCTTGAAAACCTGACAGACACCAGATAAAGTGTTCAGCTGGTTAACGAAGTGCTTGTGTTTTATATTCAATAAGAGTCCATCATCTGATTTAGGATCTGGGCACTGAAAAGAGGCCACTATCATTGCTTTTAACAAGAAAAACGGGAAGGGGATACCATATTTTTAGAACCATCTTTCATCAAATGGAACAGCTTTCAAAGAAAAATTGGGAGTGAGGAAGAAAAAAACATTCTAATCGTAATTTTGGGAATAACAAAAGAAGAGGGAACGGAAATCAAAGCAGATTTTCTCTAGCAAATAAACAGTCACGACCATTTACTTCTTGAACACTGAAGAAAGAAAGAGAAATTGGCTGGTGGGCTCTGCCTGCTGTCCAGCTCTCTCTTCCTGGCGGCGGGCGTGGAGGGGTTCAGCACCTCGGAAAGCGCCCCCTCTCTCCGCTTGGTGTACACGCATGCTCGTTAGGAGCCCATCGCGCGGCTTTAGGGGGGTGTGACTATAACTCCGGTAAGTGACGCTCGCAACTCACTAGGAGTTGACAACGAGGAGAGACAGAGACACAGGAGAGTGAGGGCGACACCGACAGACCTCCAGGCAGTCAGAGCGATGTGGACGGAATGCACTGACCTCTCTCTCTTAAAGAGCAGAAACCTCACCCAAGCAGTAGCTGAGGAAACCGGCAAAGGTATCTGAAACCAGAAGGAGCCAGCCGGAATCGCGCTCCTGAGCAGCCGGGTGGGTTACTCTCTAGCGCCCAAGTGACAGCGGGAAACGGAGGAGATTCTGAGGCGTACAAAAGGGACCCGGCCTGAGAGCTCCTGGACCTGCAGACAGCTCGCCCTACAAGCTGCCCTCCTCTTCTAGCAGACTCTGCGAGCGCAACTCCTGCAAGCAACGCAGCGCTCTGCGCGCCCGCGTTCAGGTCGCCCTTGGCACCCAATTCCTGGGAGCTATCTTCAGCAGCTGCTTTCAGCTCCCGCGCCCTGCGCCCTCGCCCCGGGGGCGGCACCCCGGGCGAGCCGGACTTCCTTACGTCTCGTCCCCTGGAAAATTAGCTACAGGCTGCTGCGCACCAGCCACGGTGGCCACCATGAATGAGGGGACTGGCGGGGGCGAGCTCGCAGATTTCCTCACTCTGATCCCGGACCTTCTAGAGGCGGGCAATGCGAGTGGCAACGCGTCGCTGCAGCTCAAGGACTGGTGGTGGGAGCTGGGACTGGAGTTGCCCGACCGTGCGGGCAGCGGCGGTGGTCTGCGGCTCCTCATCGTTGTGGTCTACTCAGTGGTTTGCGCGGTGGGGTTGGCAGGCAACCTACTGGTGCTCTACCTGATGCAGAGCAAGCAGGGCTGGCGCAAGTCCTCCATCAACCTCTTCGTCACCAATCTGGCGTTGACTGACTTCCTGTTCGTGCTCACCCTGCCAATCTGGGCGGTGGAGAGCGCGCTTGACTTCAAATGGCCCTTCGGCAAGGCCATGTGTAAGATTGTGTCCATCATGTCGTCCCTAAACATGTACGCCAGCGTCTTCTTCCTCACCGCCATGAGCGTGACGCGCTACTACTCGGTGGCCTCGGCTCTCAAGAGCCACCGGACTCGAGGGCATGGCCCTGGCGGCTGCTGCTGCCTGAGCTTGGAGGACAGCTGCTGTTTCTCGACCAAGGTACTGTGCGTGTTGATCTGGGCCTCAGCCACGTTGGCCTCGTTGCCCAATGCCATCTTCGCCTCCACGACCAAAGTGCTGGGCGAAGAGCTGTGCCTGGTGCGCTTCCACGACCAGCTGCGGCCGGGGGACAGGCAGCTCTGGCTGGGCCTCTACCACACGCAGAAGGTGCTGCTGGGCTTTGTGCTGCCTCTGGGCATCATTAGCCTGTGCTACCTGCTACTGGTGCGCGTCATCTCCCACCACCGCGTGGCAGGAGCCCATGGCGGGGCCGTGGCGTCCGGAGGAGGCCTTGCTGAAGCCAGCGCCCGGAGACGGTCCAAGGTCACCAAATCGGTGACCATCGTGGTCCTGTCTTTCTTCCTGTGTTGGCTGCCCAACCAGATGGTCACCGCCTGGGGCATCCTCATCAAGCTCGACGTGGTGCCCTTCAGCAACGAGTACTTCCTCTTCCATCAGTACGCGCACCCCCTGAGCGTGTGCCTGGCTCACTGCAACAGCTGCCTCAACCCAATTCTCTACTGCCTGGTGCGCCGCGAGTTCCGCAAGGCGCTCAAGAGCCTGCTGTGGCGCATTGCGTCGCCCTCACTCACCAGTATGCGCCCCTTCACAGCCACCACCAAGCCGGAGCCCCAAGATCAGGGGCTGCGGGCCCTGGCGCCGCTGCAGGCAGTCCCGGAGCCCGACCTGCTCTACTACCCGCCTGGCGTGGTGGTCTACAGCGGGGGGCGCTGCGACCTGCTGCCCAGCAGCTCCTCCTACTGACTCGGCGGAGGTTGAGGGCGCGCGGTCCCAGCCAAGGTGGCTTCCCCCGCAGGCAAAGAGTATGGCGGATAAGGGCAGGCTGGGGGGGCCCCTTGGTCAAGGGTAGGTGGGAGAAGGATGGAAGCGCGGAGGATCAACCTTTGAGACTGCCAAGGGCCCTTCTCCGGTGGGGAGAGATGCGAGACCCGGTGAAGAGAGCAAAGGGGCCGAGATCTACCCCAGAGGGTCAGGCCACCAGCCTCCAGGGCCCCTCCACACCATCCTCTCCTTAAGGTGTCCAAGTTGAAGTGTGGGAGCGCCCAAAAGCGGAGAGAGGCGTTAGGAATGAGAGAAATGGGGCAAGGGATGGGGCGAGGGGTGGGGCTCAGCCAAGTGGCGCGTGGACGATTAAGCGAATTTATTGCAGAGATTTTACGACGCCCTTGGCAAGGGCCCTCAGTGTGCATCCAACCGGGGAACGGCCCACAAACCTCTCCTTTGCGCGTTCGCTGTCTAGACTGCTGCGGCGCGAAGGCCTGACTTGCTGCTCGGGTGGCCCCGGGACCCTAAAATTTGGAGGCAAGAAACTTTTCCTGAGCTGGGAGAAAGGGTGACATTCTTGGTCCGCCCAAGGAGAAATGGCGGAGGAGAGGCACCTCCCATGTGGCCATTGTATCTCCTACCATCCCAGACAGGGAAACCGCGACTCTTTGCGCGGCATCTGCTCTCAGATGTCGCTGGAGGCAAAACACCTGTCCCCAGGGAGACACGGAGAGATTCGCTGGGGAGTGGCATTGCTGCGGGAGGGAGCGGACGCTTTGTGATTACGGGGGGCTCAGTAGAGAAAACTCTTCAGACTGCTGCCCCTGAAGAAAAAGGGGGCTCATGTGTTCCCCCGGCAACCTAGCGGGAAGCGGAGCGCCCTGGACCCTGGAAGCCTGGGGGGCCTCAGTTCCCCCGAGGGCCGGCTAAATGCCCGAAGAGACTTCGTGCTTTGATCACCAAGCGCTGCAGGTGAGCTGGGCCCAGGACCAGCTTGAAAAGCTCAAAATAGACTAGCTACTAGAAGTGGAGGTGTCTCCGCAGTCCCTCCCCCTCACTCTTTAAGAATCAGGATGCCTGTTTGACTGAGGCCCTGGATCAGCTTGTAGAGAGATGGCTAGGTGATTTTTTTTTTTTTTTTTTTGTAGGCTTGGGTAGAAAACCAACAGATGCTGTAAAAATGTGCTGAGACTTCCTGGAAACCGAATTCCTATAAGCTGGAGTCTGACCTTTCAAGAGAAAGTGTGGGGTGGGGGAGGGGATGGAAGACCGCAAACGAATCTTTTTCTAGCGCGTGTAGAATTTTCCCAAAGGGAAGAGCATCCTCTAGAGCCTGTTGTGGGGGTTTACCAGAAATTCAGGCGTGGGGTTCTTTATTACTCGTATTGTCGACAAGAGAAGGTGGTGGATAAGAATACCCATAGGGCACTACCTTAGCCAAGTTCCGTTTATTCTACAGAGTGCTTTCCATACTGAGCATGTGTCATGAATTCTTCCCTAACCTCCAGTCTATGGGGCCCCTCTGAAGAGTGTCTCACATTTCTCAGACAACTCTGTCCTGAAAAACCAGTTGCCATGAGTCAATTCCGACTCACAGCGACCCTGTGTGACTGAGAGGAACTGCCCAATAAGATTTCCAAAGAGTGGCTGGTGAATTCAAACTGCCAGCCTTTTGGTTAGCAGCCAAGCTCTTAACCACTAGGCTGCCAGGCTCCAACTCCGTCCTGGTCACAGCAATTGCTTAGAAAACTGGAGTCAAACATTAAACACCCACTACCATGCAGCTTTGACAGATGTGCTACTGTTCTCTGTGGTGACATTGTTTGGGGGTAAAGAAACCAGCAAAGCAGGCACCTACTGGGGTGGCTATTTTAATACAATAAATAATTATCATAAAACCATGTCTGCTTAAATAGACTCTTGAACTGTAGAATTGTTTAGTAATTTTGTTGCAAATCTCCTACAGTGTCTAGAACTGAGATTTAAGACTCAGAATGTGGGATCTGCAGCCCCAGCATTCTTTATTCTACCTTCTGTAATATGACACGGTGCAATTGTTAAACGATCACTAAATAATCATACCTTGCCACAAAAACAAAGGCTGCCTGACCTCGTCAATCTTGAGTAGGCTGGGGAATTTAACTCTTTCAGGAAACGGAATAGTGCTTTTATTTTAAAGTAGTTGAATCAGTCTTTCTTTACCTTTTGGGAAGAAAATATATTGATACTGAATAGTAGTCAAGCCAACAGAGATTGAAATGTAAGCCCCCCACACCTGCCAAATACAAAATAAATGAAAAAGTAAACACCCAGAAAGAATGTGCCAATATTAAACTCTTACTGAGAGACTCCCTTTATTAAAGCAACTTGCCATTTCAATTTTGGCCATAAAATGATGTGTAGGCAGATGAGGGTTCTTAGGAAAGTGTGTTGAAGTGTGTGCTTCTATTATGATGGGCACTAAACAAAGAGAAGGGAAGGCAGGAGGCAAGTCCTTCAGGGGGGAAAAAAACCTATATGAAAGGGGCACCTTGTCTCCAACCAAACCTGAGGGCTCTGAGAACGTGGTGGGAGAGGGCAAAGACCATGGCTTCTGTCTACCATAAGAACAAAAGGGTCAACAAGAAAATGGTCAAAACAGTTGAAATCGATAATTACTTTCTAAATGTCTATTGTGTGCCAAGCCTTGGGCCGGGAGTGGAGATCCCATAGATGAACCAGACACATCCCTGACTTCTGCATTTAGAAAGAGAAACAGCCGTGGACACAAGTAACACAAGACAGAAAACAATGAACTGAATGTCATAGTAAGGGCTAAAAGAAGGTGCTATGGGAATACAGGGAAGGGGAAGTTTGATTCTGCTGGGGGATCAGACACTTCTTGGTCAAAGTAGTATTTGCGATGGACCTAGAAATTTGAGTACAATTTAGATAGGCAGAAATGGAGGGGAGGGAGATAGAGAGGACATTTGAAGCCAAAGAACTGCAATGATCAAAGACTTTGAGGTAAGAATGTCAGGTGCATAGCAGGCAAAGAGGGAAGTAAAGCAGGGTAGCTTCCCTTTCTCTGTGTGCTCTCCAGGCATCTGGAGTTTCCCAGGATTTCTATTAAGAATTTTAGTGTCCCTGCACTTGCTTTATTTACCCAGAAGTGGGACATTTTCCCCCAGAGAAGAACATGTCATTGGTATACTGAGAACAAGTATTGAGTTCCCAAAGTGGTTAAATGCTTCTTAAATTGGATTCTACCTACTGATTCAAACTTTGATGGAGTTGAGTTAAATGGGTAAAGCATTCAAATATTTGAATGTGTGTGTGTGTGTGAGAGAGAGAGTGTGTGGGCTGGTGCTCCCTCAGTAGCCCATCCAACGTTCCATCTGAAAGAGCTTCAGTTATAACAAACACCATGCCCTGTGGGGATTCCTTTTGACTTCTTGGGGGTCCGGGTCAGATGGCCGTCAGCTGTGGGCTACGGTTCATTTCATCTATTCATTTTGCAATCTTCAAACACCGGAACTGTCCTTGGAGAAATGATCAGGAAATAAAACATGGAACTATACAGAAGATTCCATTTTTAAACTTTACAGAGGTCAAGGACAGGCAGAGAGAGGAAACAAGAGAGGTGGCTCAGTAATGTTTCCCTTATATTGCAGAGCGCTGTGTCACGGGGTGCTCTGAGCATTTGCCTACCTTTCTGTGGGGTTGGGAGCACGTGTGTTTTCCCTGGTCACTCCTCTAAGTCAGTCATGACCTCCCCTCTCCGGGATGGACCGTAGTGTTGGAGGGGGCAGAGGGAGGAAGTAAGACTGGGGGGAAGAAGAGGAGTTTTACATGCGTCCTTCAAAAAGAATGAGAAGATTTCCTTTGGGAGTGAATATACTAACAGAGCGCCGGGTGGGGGTGGGGGGGCTGAAAGAGGCGCAGGAAATTAGACTAGCGGAGCGAGGCCCAGAGGTTGACAAGTGAAACAATAGTATATTCCCTTGTGAGAAATCAGCCCAGCCTGTCTGGAAAGCACCAGCATGGGCTAAAGGGCAGTAGCCTGGAGTGCGGGGCACTGGATAAGAAAGCTGTGTGACCAGCAGGTGGCGACAGTGAGCAGCTGGCAGGAAGGCGTGACCACTTCAGTGTAAGCCTCCTGCCTGCCCCCCCATCCCCCCCCCCCACTACACACACAAACCAGAAGGAGCCAGATCCGCAGGGGTGCTCTGGGTGTCCTGCCCCATATTGCCCCAGTCACAGGTATGGTAACCTCACAGCAGCAGAGAGCAATCAGGAGAATTGCAGCAGCAATCTGAGAGCCCAAGCAAGAGAAGCAGAAAGAATGCGTGAGAGAACAGGGAGCCAGCTTCCTTTTGAGACCATTGGAGAAGCTGGGAAGGAGAGAGAGACAGCAACGCAATACACAATAGATCTCAGAAGAGCTAGATGCTGCCTGGCTACCACCAATGACCGCCCTGACAGGGAACACAACAGAGAGTCCCGGATGGAGCAGGAGAAAGGTGGGGTGCAGAACTCAAATTCTAGTAAGAAGACCAGACTTAATGGTCTGACTGAGACTGGAGGAACCCCAGAAAGCATGGCCCCTGGATTCTCTATCAGCCCAGAACTAAAACAATTTTGGAGGCCAACTCTTCAAACAGGGATTGGACTGGACTGTGGGACATAAAGTGATACTCGTGAGGAGTGTGCCTCTTAGCTCAAGTAGATACAAGAGACTAAACGGGCAGCTTCTGTCTGGAGGTGAGATGGGAAGGCAGAGAGGGTTAGGAGCTGGTAGAATGGACATGGGCAATCAGGGGTGGAAAGGAGGAGTGTGCTGTCACAGTATGGGGAGAACAATTAGAGTCACATAACAATTTATGTATAAATTTTTGTATGGGAAAAAAACCCAATAGATTGCTCTCTGGCTGCGATCTTAGGGTGGTAGCCTTCTGGACTTCCCTGGGACCCGGGCAGCCAAGGTCCCTGACCTGGGTTTCACCACTAGAGGGTCCTGCTCTGTTCCCTCTACAGCTGTGCCACTCCCCACATGGCAAGCAATCCACAGGGCTGCCTGGAGCCCGTGCCCCACCCCTCCACCTTCTAGATCACCTTGGACCTCAGGATTCCCCATCCAAACGGCCCTGAGTCTATTTACAAGGCTGTCTTGGTTCCCTTTTCAAGTCCATCTTCCAGAAGGCAGACTACTCTGCTGAGTCTGTGCACCCAGGTCAGAGGGATGGCTAAGGGTGGCTGTTGCAGGTGCAGTGGAGGGTGGAGAGGTGGGGGAAGTTGTGGATGTAGTTTGTGGTGCACACACCAAAGTGCACACAGGGACTTGCCCAGTGCTGGACGGAGCTAAGAGTGGGCTAAGGAGGGTTGGCGGATGGACTGTGGACCATGGACATTACTACTCTTGTTCTTCTAGGCTCTGCAAGTGTCAGGGGTGGGCCCATCCTCCTTATTCATTTCACCCAACAGTTTTGTGAAAGAGGACCTGCAGCCTTCTCAAGAACCAGAGCAAGCTTCCTCTGCTCAGGACCATTACCTCAAATGAGCTGATACTGCAGGGGCTGGCCGTGCTCCCTCACCCATCCGTTTTACCAGGCGCAAGGTAAACAAGAGCAATGTCCCAAATCCCACATGCCTCAGTTCTCAAAGGCAGCTCATTTCCTTTCTCCAAATTCCCTTTCAGCACCAAAGATTTCAGTAAGATAGAAATTCATCTGAGGCAATGACTACACGAACAGGCTCAAAAGATGAGGCAAGAGAAGGAAGCATGTAAATGTTTTGACCTGTAGAAACATGTGGGCAGATCTCTGTGCTGCACTAGTCAAGCCACATTCTGAGTAGTGCAGGCAAACACTTAAGGACTGGAGCAGATTGGGATGAGGGCACAGGGTGACAGGCCTTTAACAATCGTGACATTAGCTATCGATCATGGACCAAATGCTGGCCACCAGGCTGACTGCTGCCCATACGGGAAGCTGTGGAGCCAGAGTGCCTGGGTTCAAAGCCCAGTGCTGCCACTTATGAGTTGTGTAGCTTCAGATGAATTATGTAGCCCCTCTCAGCCTTCGTTTCCTCATTTACGAAATGAAGATTTATAATAGCACCCACTCCCAAGGTTGCTGTGTTATCACAGGTAAAACATTTAGAATAGTGGTAAGCAGTAGAAGGAAATCAAAGACTCAAAGAAGAAACTAGTCTACAGGACTAAGAGTCTACAAGAACCATGGCCTCATCTACCCTGATACCAGAAGAACTAGATGTGCCCGGCCCCCACTACTGACCATTCTGATCAGGGGCACAATAGGTGGACCCTGATAGAATGGGAGAAAAATGTAGAACAGAACCTCAGATTCCTGAAAACAACGGCAAAAACAGACTTATTGGACTGGTTGAGACTGGAGGACTCCCCAAGACTATTGCCCTGAGATATTCGTTAAACTTTGAACTGAAACTAGCCCCTGAGGTCACCTTGTAGCTAAATAACAGATTGGCTCACAAAATAAAGAATGTCACCCATGAGTACTCTACTCCTTTAAAAAATCACCTATATAAGACCAAATGGTCAACAATTACTTTGAAACAAAAGTAAGAATGTAAGGGGGCAGGGAAACTAGATTAATGGAAACAAAACAACCAGAATGGAAATATTGAGAATGTTCACAAATTGTGAAGAATATAACCAATGTCACTGAAGAATTTGTGCAGAAATTTTTGAATGGGAACCTAAACTGCTGTGTAAACCTTTACCAAAAACACAATAAAATATTATTATTTAAAAAAATTTAAAAAAGAATAATCCTAAGCATTCAGTGTCATGTATTACTAATTGTCACAAGTTTCTGAGGTGCAATTATTATCCCAGTTGTATAGCTGAGTAAGTGAGGCTTGGGGAGGTTAAGTTGTTTGTTGGAGACAGGCAAAGTCAGGATTCAGAACCAGCCTGGCTCCAAAGTTCATGATCTTTCTATCTTTAAGCCAAGCTCTCTCTTGAGACGCTGAAAACCTCACTGTATGAGAAGTAGTTGAAGGAATATGGCTAGAGAAAAACTGCTTAGATGGGAAAAGAGATGATCATAAGAGAAACGGGAAGGCTATTTTTGAAAAACTTTCATAATGACTCCAGAGAATGGAACAAGGCCACAGGCTAGAGAAAAAGAAGTTCACTGTGTGTCAATGAAATGAGCTGTTTTAACGTAATAAATTCCCTGGCATGAGAAGATGTTCAAGCAGACTTGTTGGGGATATCATAAAGCAGCAATATTTAGAGTATTGGTGAATTTGATGAAAAATATGGCCACCAGACCCTACATGGACCCCAGGTTAAAAAAAAAAAAATCATGTCATAGAAGAAATCCAAGCACATAAGTAGAATTAGCCTGCCTCTCAGGCCTGAAATGTCCCATGGAAAATGGACTCTGTCTCCCACTCTTCTGCACTAAGATGCAATGAGAAAGGTGTGTATAGACGGTACCAATCACACATACCCTTTGCCACCAGTGATGGAGGCATTGCCCAGTCTTGTGTCTGAAATATGGGGGTCATTGTGCAGAAGACTGGGAGAAAGTCAAGAGCACGCAGAGGAATATCCAATGAGCAGATCAAAGCAATGTAGAGCTACAGAAAATATTGCTTTCCTCATTGACATATGCTTCTCTGTGCCTGAGGTCAAGGTCAATGTCTCTTTATTGACTCAATCCACATATCTCACAAAGAGAGCCACAAAGCAACAGCCGATCAGTGCCACTGCAGAGGCCGTGATCACCACGACAATGACGCTTCCAGCTGTGTTGACCAGTAAGCCCAGGCCGCCTCCAACCAGGATTTGAGCCAGCTGCACCATGGAGGTGAGGGCAGCACAGTCCACGCCCTTTCCTCTCCCACAGCTGTCTGGGCCCCCACTCAGGGCCTGCCGCCTCTGCAAGGGAAGCATAAGAACAGCATTGGTTCTGCATGAAACTTCCCTGCCAACTCTGCAAGTGAAGCACAGAAACAGCATTGGGTCTACATGGAACTGACATTTAGGGCAGGAGTAGTCAAACTTGTTCTGTAAAGAGCCAGATAGTAAGGATTTTCAGCTTTGTGTGTCGTATGGTCTCTGTTACAACTACAGGTAGTCCTCAACTTATGATGGATTTCGATTTTGACGACTCTGTCCTAAGTCAGTTCTGACGTAAGTCGAATAGTTCTTTTTTTTTTTTTTTTAGTTTTCATTATTATTGCCTAAATGCAGTTATAGACGATATGTAAACAAATTGGCATGGCTTTATTTATGGACACTGAAATTTGAATTTTAAGTAATTTTCACTTATCACAAAATATTATCCTTTTGATTTTTTCAACCATTTAAAATTTTTTAAATAATTCTTAGCTTACTGGATGTACAAAACCAGGTGGCATGTCATATATGACCTATGGGCCATAGTTTGCCAACCCCTCACTTGCTACAAAATCTTAAATTCCAAAATGACCACATGAGGGTTAAATGATTAGTATATACAGAATTATCTCTCCCTAGCCAAAAATCCAAACAAACCCATTGCCGTTGAGTCAGTTCCAACTCATGGTGACTTCATGTGTTACAGAATAGAACTGCTCCGTCAGGAGTTTCTTGGCTGTAGTCTTTACAGAAGAAGATCACCAGGCCTTTCCTCCCATATCTCTCCCTGTTGGTGTGTGCCGTCACGTCAATTCTAACTCATAGCGACCCCATGTGACAGACAAGAACTGCCCCATAGGGTTGCCTAGGCTGTAATCTTTACAGGAGCAGATCGCTAGGTCTTTCTCCTGTGGATTGGCTGGGCGAGTTCAAACCGCCAGACTTTTATTTAGCAGCTGAGTGCTTAACCACTGAGGCCAATAAAAACAATGTAGTAGAAACTCAATAAATGCTCCACTCCTTTTCTTCCTTTGTGTTAAAATTACAAACATTTTTAAAAGGATATTGAATCACAGATATACTTAGGAGAAGCAACATAAAAAAACAATTCAAGCATTCAAAATATGGTTACTTAGTTACTATATAAATACTTGGTTAACATTTGGTAAATATTTGATATTTGGTCTAAACTGGTTAATAACAATGCCATTTCTTGGGTGTCTTTTATTTGCCAGGCCTTGTACAAGGTTCTTTCACATGTTATTTCACTTTATCCCACCACCTCCCTAAATGGCACATATTATTGTCAGTTTCCATATGTTAACAGACCACGAGTCTGTCAGTTTGTCGAACTGTAGGGGTGTGCGTGTTGCTGTGATTCTGGAAGCTATGCCACTGGTATTTCAATACCAGCAGGGTCATCCATGGTGGACAGGTTTCAGCAGAGCTTCCAGACTAAGACAGTCTAGGAAAAAGGACCTGTGGCTCTACTTCTGAAAAAATTGGCCAATGAAAACCTATGGATAGCAGCAGAACATTGTCTGATATAGTGCCAGAAGATGAGACCCTCAGGTTTGAAGGCACTGAAAATAAGACTGGAGAAGAACTGCCTCCTCAAAGTAGAATTGACCTTAATGACCTGGATGGTGTAAAGCTTTAGGGTTCTTCATTTGCTGATGTGGCATGACTCAAAATGAGAAGAAACAGCTGCAAACATGCATTAATAATTGGAACATGAAGTGTATGAAGTATGAATCTAGAAAAACTGGAAGTCGTCACAAATGAAATGGAAAGCATAAACATTGATATCTTAGGCATTAGTGAGCTGCAATGGACTGGTATTGGCCATTTTGAATCAGACAATCATATGGTCCACTATACTAGGAATGACAAATTGAAGAGGAATGATGTTGCATTCACTGTCAAAAAGAACATTTCAAGATCTATCCTGAAGTACAATGCTGTCAGTGATAGGATAGTATTCATACCCCTACAAGGAAGACCAATTAATAGGACTATTATTCAAATTGACACACCAACCACTAATGCCAAAGATGAGGAAACTGAAGATTTTCACTGACTTCTGCAGTCTGAAATTGATCAAACATGTAAGTAAGATGCATTAATAATTACCGGTGATTGGAATGTGAAAGTTGGAAACAAAGAAGAAGGATCAATAGTCGGAATATATGGCCTTGGTGATAGAAAGAACATAGGAGATGACAAGATAGAATTTTGCAAGACCAACAACTTACTCGTTGCAAATGCCTTTTTTCAACAACATAAATGGCAACTATTCACATGGACCTCACCAGATGGAAAACACAGAAATCAAATCGACTACATCTGTGGAAAAAGACCATGGAAAAGCTCAATATCATCAGTCAGAACAAGGCCAGGGGCTGACTTCAGAATAGACCATCAATTGCTCATGTGCAAGTTTAAGTTCAAACTGAAGAAAATTAGAACAAGTCCAAGAGAACAAAAATATGACCTTGAGTATATCCCACCTGAATTTGGAGACCATCTCAAGAATAGATTTGATGCATTGAACACTAATGACTGAAGACCAGACAAGTTGTGGGATGACATCAAGGACATCATACATGAAGAAAGCAAAAGGTCATTAAAAAGACAGGAAAGAAAGAAAAGACCAAAACAGATGTCAGAAGAGACTTTGAAACTTACTCTTGAAAGTAGAGTAACTAAAGCAAATGGAAGAAATGAGGAAGTAAAAGAGCTGAACAGAAGATTTCAAAGGGCAGCTCAAGAAGACAAAGTGAAGTATTATAATGAAATGTGCAAAGACCTGGAGATAGTAAACCAAAAGGGAAGAACACACTCAGCATTTCTCAAGCTGAAAGAACTGAAGAAAAAATTCAAGCCTCGCGTTGCAATATTGAAGGATTCTGCGAGGAAAATACTAAATGATGTAGGAAGCATCAAAAGAAGATGGAAGGAATTTCCAGAGTCACTGTACCAAAAAGAATTGGTCGACGTTCAACCATTTCAGGAGGTAGCACATGATCAAGAACTGATGATACTGAAGGAAGAACTCCAAGCTGCACTGAATGCGTTAGCGAAAAACAAGACTCCAGGAATTGATGGAATACCAACTGAGATGTTTCAACAGATGCAGGTGTTTCAACAAACAGATGTAGGTGGAGGTGCTCACTTGTCTATGCCAAGAAATTTGGAAAAAAGCTACCTGGCCAACCCACTGAAAGAGAACCATATTTGTGCCCATTCCAAGAAAAGGTGATCCAACAGAATGTAGAAATTATCGAATGTCTTTTAATGTCACACAAAAGTAAAATTTTGCTGAAAATAATTAAAAAATGTTTGCAGCAGTACATCAATGGGAAACTGCTAGAAAGTCAAACCAGATTCAGAAGAGAATGTGGAATGAGGGATATCATTGCTGATATCAGATGGATCATGGCTGAAAGCAGAGAATACCAGAGAGAAGTTTACCTGAGTTTTATTGACTATGCAAAGGCATTCTACTGTGTGGGTCATAACAAATTATGGATAACATTGTGAAGAATGGGAATTCCAGAACACTTAACTGTGCTCATGCGGAACCCATATATAGACAAAGAAGCAGTGCTTCAAACAGAACACGGGGATACTGGGTGGTTTAAAGTCAGGAAAGGTGTGTGTCAGGGTTGTATCCTTTAACCATACTTATTCAATCTGTATGCTGAGCAAATAATCCAAGAAGCTGGACTATATGAAGAACACGGCATCAGGATTGGTGGAAGACTCATTAACAATCTGAAATATGCAGATGACACAACCTTGCTTGTTGAAAGCGAAGAGGACTTGAAGCACTTACTGATGAAGATCAAAGACTATAGCCTTCAGTATGGATTACATCTCAACATAAAGAAAACAAAAATCCTCACAACTGAACCAATAAGCAACATCATGATAAATGGAGAAAAGATTGAAGTTGTCAAGGATTTCATTTTACTTGGATCCACAGCCAGCGCTCATGGGAGCAGCAGACAAGAAATCAAACAATGTATTGCATTCAGCAAATCTGCTGCAAAAGATCTCTTTAAAGTGTTGGAAAGCAAAGATATTACTTTGAGGACTAAGGTGCACCTCACCCAAGCCAGGGTGTTTTCATTCGCCACATATGCATGTGAAAGCTGTACAAAGAATAAGTAAGACAAAAAAGAACTGATGCCTTTGAATGTTGGTATTGGTAAGGAATATCGAATATACCATGGACTGCCAGAAGAACGAACAACTCTGTCTTGGTAGAAGTACAGCCAGAGTGCTCCTTGGAAGCGAGCATGGAGAGGCTTCATCTCAGGTACTTGGGACATGTTATCAGGAGGGACCAGTCCCTGGAGAAGGAAATCAGACCCTCAACAAGATGGATTAACACAGTGACTGCAACAATGGGCTCAAACATAGCAATGATTTGGAGGATGAAGCAGGAGTGGGCAGTCTTTCATTCTGTTGTACATAGGGTCGCTATGAGTTGGAACCAACTGCATGGCACCTAACAACAACAATGATAAAAATAATAGTAATTACCATTTTTAAAAATTTTTCCAGGTGATAGGTATTATACTAAGAACATTAGCTATACTATCTTGATTACTTTGATTTTCCTACAAACCTATAAGGTGGGTATTTTTTTTTCCCACGTAGCTGATGGCTACATTGAGACTTTAAGAATTTGAATGATGTTTCCTGCACTATTAAGGTAAAAAAACACAGTGCAGAACAATGTGTATTATATGGGTTAGGAAGGGGAAAAGAAGAAATAGATTTATATTTCATTGATTTGTATTAAAAATACTGGAATGATAAATCAATACGCATACTTACCTATACAAGGAAGGAGTAGTTAGAAAAGAGAACAGAGAGGGATGGGAGCCATTGTACAATGTACACTTTTTATATCATTGTGATTGTTGAGCCACGTGAATGTATTACCTCATCTAAAAGTGAAATAAGGGTTTTAAACAATATTTAATAATTAAATAACATGTCCAGTCTGGGAAGTGGGGGAGGCAGAATTTGAATCCAGGTTTCTCTAAGGCCAAAGCTTATGTGTTTTCACCCTAGTACCATGTAACTCTTTCCTTGGAGGTACAGTTCTTCATGATAACTGTCTCTTTAACAGCAAAACCCTTGTCATGCATTGAAACATTAGCAACAGTGTTTGCTGGGGAAGGGAACAGTCACAACTCTAGTTGGGAGGTTTTAACTCCTCGTGCATCTCTGCCCTGCTGTGTTTGCCAGATCAAATGATAGAAAAAAAGGCCAGAATTACCATCACGTGAACATGTGTTCTATGGTTTTGAATTTTCATGCTGTGATGGATTAAACTGGGAGTTACCACTTTATGTTTCATATCACTGTTCCAGTTAAGCAAATGTAAGCCTATTTTCCTGAGAAAAAAGTTGCACATTTTGATAAGAAGGGGTGGTAATTATAGAACAGAAATACCCAATTTCATGTTCTTATGAAAACAGGACCTTGCTTTGGAGCCAGAGTTCCAAGATGTAGATGGGGCAGGCTCCCTGTGGACAGTTCAGTAGAGATGACCACGCATAAGCCCAGTTTCCCTCCCTGCTTCCTCTTTAATCACCAGCACACAGGGTCTGACTTTCTAAAATCTGGACTTTCAAGAAAGTATTGCCAAAGAATTCCCTGTCCTCAATCAATTCCCAGCAATTTCGCAGGGCACCCCTGGTGTGGTTGGGGATGGGACACCTTCACTGTGTCTAGAAAAGCTGCAGGTGCATTAGGAGAGCCTGTAGATTGGTTGAGGGGCTATGGTGGCACAGTGGTTAAGCACTCGGCTGCTAACCAAAAGGTCAGTGGTTCGAACCCACCACTCGGCAAGAGAATGATGTGACAGTCTACTTCTGTAAAGATTACAGCCTTGGAAACCCTATGGGGCAGTTCTACTCTGTCCTATAGGGTCGCTATGAGTCGGAATCCGCTCAACAGCAATGGGTTTTTGTTTTGTTTTATTTTGTAGATCAGCTGTCAGAAGACCCGGTTTACCCTTTCTTTGTCTGTGTATGATTATGTGCAGGTTTCTCTCATTTCCAAGTCTCCTCTTCCTAATTAGACAAATGGAAGGATCGGTAATTGCCCTACTGGTCACCAAATACCATCAGTTCTGACTCAGGACAACCCCATGTGTGTAGAAGAGAACTACTCCATAGGGTTTCCAAAGCTATGACCTTTCAAAAGCAGATTGCCAGGCCTTTCTTCCAAGGTGTGTCTGGGTGGCCTTGAACTGCCAACCTTTCAATTAGTAGTGAGCACTTAACCATTTATGCCACCCAAGGACTCCAATCAGAAGAACAGAGGTTGAGTAAACAAGAGGGGAGGGATGAAGTGAGATGGTGGTCACATCTTCCCCAGACCATGGTGACAATCAGTTGGGGATATTAGTGCCCTTATTTTCTAGCTCCACTAAGTACTTTCTACCAAATCTCCACCCCTACTCCAAGCCTTCAGGTGAGTCCAGTCGTTACCCAGAGAGGAGGTTCACAGACGCACCTCCTCTTCCTCCTCACGGTGGTACTCGGCAATGAGGTTAAAGGGCACAGTGTACAGGGTGCTGGACATGACACCAAACAAGGAGCACAGGACCATGGTGGAGTAGACATTCGGGAAGAGCCCAATGAATCCCGTCCCAAGGCCAAACAGCAGATACCCAATGAAGTAAAGACCCTTTAATCCCACATAGGAGACCAGTGTTTTCTGAACGTCTGTAAAGAGAAGAGAGGGAGAAATTACAGCTGGCAGTGCCTTACAACACTTAATCATTGCAGAAACTCTTTCTTTTGAAGAAGCAAGTTTATTGGGAGACTTCCTTTGATATTGAGTCAGGAACAAAAGAGCCTCCTTATCTGCGCTTGGAAACAGCTGGCTTTTGGAATCAGTTTTAAATTCTTTGCATAAAGGAGACCTTGAAATTGTCTTGCTCGGCTGATTTTCTTTTTCACAGAGAAGGGCCAGGCACTGTTTAGCAGGCAGCTGAATAGCAACAGGATGCCAAAGACGGGGTGGAAAAGCTCGCCTTGGCCACGCAAACCTGGGGCTGCAAGATGTGGAAGAAAACGTGGGTTATTCTGATTCGGAGGAATCCCTGGGTGGTGCAAAGGGTTAACATGCTCGACTTCTAACCAAAAGGTTGGAGGTTCGAGTCCACCCAGAGGTGCCTTGGAAGAAAGGCCTGCTGATCTACTTCCAAAAATCAGCCATTGAAAACCCTATGGAGCGCAGTTCTACTCTGATACACATGGAATTTCCATGAGTCAGAGTTGACTCAATGGTAACTGTTTTCTTTTTTTTTTTTTTCATTCTGATTCAAAGGGGTCTGGCCTAATAGGACCAAAATACCATGATCCAAAGCCAAGTTGGGAAAACTTTTAAAAGCCAGATTTTTCAGAATGATCCAAGTCATCTGTGTTTCTTAGCCCTCACCTGAACACAGTCTGCATGCCATAGAAGGAGGTAAAGGGTGTGAAATTATCTGCAGACACTTTCCCTGACTTGTCAACCCTTCCCAAGCTGGTAAGAGACTCCCACAACACCCAACACTTCCCCATCACTGGCTCCCTTGTTCTATGGACAAGTTTCTTAACTTCTCAAAACCTCAGCTTCCTCATCTGAAAAATGGGAATAATAAAACCTTCCTTTAGGGTCGTTGTCAGGATCAAATGAGATTAAATATCTGTGAAATGATCCAGCTCAGTACCTAGCACGTAGAAGATATCCAATTAATAGTGGCTATTGCTGTTTTCCACCAGCTGTCTGTCAGTTTGTCATACTACAGTGGCTTGCCTGTTGCTGTGATGCTGGAAACCATGCCATCAGTATTTCAAATAGCAGCAGGGTCACCCATGGTGGACAGACTTCAGTGGAGCTTCCAGACTAAGATAGTCTAGAAAGAAAGGCCTGGTGATCTACTTCTGAAAATTGGCCAATGAAAACCTATAGATCACAACAGAACATTGTCCAGCTTGCTTGTTTTGGACATATCATCATGAGAGATCAGCATCGGAGGAGGACATCATGTTTGGGGAAGCAGAGGGCTAGTGAGGGCAAGGGAGTCACTCAGTGAGATGGATTGGCACAGTAGCTGCAACAATGGACTCCAACACACTGGCAATTGTGAGAATGATGTGGGGCCAGGCAACATTTTGTTCTGCCATACATAGGGTCTCCATGAGTCAGAGTTGACTCAATGGCAGCTATCTATCTATCTATTGTTATTTCAGTGAATACAGGCTGTGTTAAAGATGGCTGACTCTTAACTTGATGTTGCTCCCAGCGGGCAAACTTGGCTTGCTCACAAAAGTATTGTGGTAGAGTTAATTTTTTTAAAAAATAAAATTCTGTTTTAAAACTTTCTATGATATTTTCCCCAATGTTAAGGAAAATCCCTAGAAAGCTCTTATTCTCCATTTTTCATCTATGCATTTCTTAACTTTCTCCTACCCCATTCTTCTGGAACACATAAACCCAGAAATAAATGTCCCTATTCAGGATCAAAATTTTCCATATCTACCCAAATAATTATTGTACTTACACCATGTAGACAAGAAACAAATATGCATTACATTGAATTAATTATGAAACTAAACATTGTCTCAAGTCATTCTGATGGAAGACAGAGCTCTGGAAATGACAAGCTGGAAACATGCTTCCTCTATTAAATTCATATCATGCCTGAAGGGCTGTTGTCAACGCTGAGAATGAAAGCAGTATAAAGCTAGGTCAGTTCCTGTTTGCTTAATGATTATATTTATGCAGAAATGGAATTAAGATGTTTCAGTACCTAAAAGATACCATTAATATTCACTAGGAAAATGCTCTTATCCAAGTGTGTAGGCCAGTTGAGGAGAAGGCAAAGAATGATACTTGGAGAAATATTTGGAAACACAAGTAACTTCAGTACAAAGATTGAAAGTCTGGCAAAGAATGCTTTATTCCTGAATAGAAATCAATAAATTTAAGGGCCAAGCTCAACTTCCCCTCTGATGGGTATAGTCATATCATCACACTATGCCAGTCTTTAGAATTGGAGGGAAATGATTGGTTTTGGCACCAGCTATGAATAATCGTATTTGATATGAAAAAGTGTCTATATTGCAGCACTCAGTATTGCTATTTTTGTTGCTGTAAGTGTGTTTGCTATGCAAAAGGAGCTTGAAAATAAGTCCCTTATCATCATACTCCAGATTGGCCCACCAAGCCCCATTTAATTAGAAATACTGTATCTGCATCAGAAGTTATGTGATGAGTCCAAAAACAAAGGGTTATATATTGATTGTGCTCTGGAATTGAAATAAATAATTGATTCTGCCCAGGAAGGGGTTGGGATACAGAAAAAAAGACTGGAAGAAGATTTCACAGAAGAAGTGATATTTGAGCTGGGTCTAAAAGCATGATTAGAAGTTGTCTAGGTAAGGAAATAGGAGCCCTGGTGGTGCAGTGGTTAAAAGCTACAGCTGTTAACAAAAAGGTCGACAGTTTAAAGCCACCAGCCACTTCTTGGAAACTCTATGGGGGCAGTTCTACTCTGGGGGTTGCTATGAGTTGGAATCAACTCAACGGCAATAGGTAGGTAGGGAAGCAGAAAGAGGAGCTCAGGTACAAGAAGAAACCACAAGCAGTAGTAAATGCACAGAAGTGAGAAAGTCTGTGCAGTGAGTTATCAGGGGTGGCTAATCTGTGTGGGAGTAAGAGAGGCAAGGTGTGGTCTTAACTGTGAAAAGCCTTGAATGCCAAGCTCAGGAGTTTAACTTTACCAGGTGGGTTACAGGGAGCCCCTGAAAATTATTAAGCCAGACTGGTTGGTATTTTAGAAATAATGTTTTGGTGCTAATTCACAATGTTAAGAACCTCATAGAGTTATACATTAATATAACTTTGGAAAACCAGTCAAATAATAGTTTATTTTGTATTGAGGGCTTTTAACTAGAAAAGGCCTAAAAAATAGCATGTCTTTTAATTTTGAAATGTTGGTAAATTCATTCAGGAACTCAAACTAGGTTAACAGAATGTTACCTAATAGGGATTCTTTGAGGAAAAAGAAGTTAAAATTGACATAAAATTAAAATACCATTTGTGCAACAACAACGACAACAAAAAAGTATCCCTCTTATAAGTATGTGGGTAGTAGTATATAGTCCTCCCCCATTGAAAACACAAAGGTATTGAAATAGATAATTTACTAGACCCTTCTAGCTTAGTGTTCTCTGATTCTATTTTAAGCATTTGAAATCTTCCTCCTGGAATTTTTAATCCTAGGACAGTGTTCCTAAAACATACCACTTTGCCCACCTGAGCTAAGATTATTTTATATGTTGATTTTGTCACCTGCCATATTAACCGTTCCTCCTATTTTGCATCATCTGCAAATCTGATAAATTTATCTATAAAATTCCATTGGTGATCACGCTCCAGTAGAACACGAACCTGCTGCTAATCAATGCTCTCTGTTGGGAATCTATGCTTCATCCTTCCTTCACTAACACACTTCACTGTTTATAAAATTTCCTTTTAGTTCCCAGAGAACCTTGATCAGAAATCCACTGATTCCAAGAACAAAGTAATCACTGAGACCTAGAATACTCTATAAACATTGTAGGAAAAAAGGTTATTTCATGCGGTCCTTTCTAAGGAAATAAATTTTCCTGACCTTCATATATTATCAAGAATCTACTATTTTAAAGAGCAGAAAACAAATACGGAAATATAAAATCTGATATTCTGCCTGACCAGAGCCCTTTAGAACACGTCCTTAGGATTGGGAGACTTACAAGAATAGAGTGAAGAAAACACGGAGTTGATGCACAAGCTCCAACATCCAACCTCAACTCCTCTTTGGTAGATGAGAAACTCTGTGGAGTTGTGTGCACTATAGGGATCCCCACCGTACACAATCTGAAAGAGAGATTTGGGGCTGTTGAGCTACAGATGCAGTGCAGTTGGGACCTCTCCTCATATGCTCTGCTTCTCTACCCCTGGGGAGCAGCATCTCCCTGCCTGATGGGCCCTCCCTAGCTCATTCTGCCATGATCAAGAAACCATTTCCATCCTATCACACCTCTGTTTAAGAACCTTCAGGAAGACATAATGCCTACAGCATCAAGTCTAAACAACATTTCCTTGACTCTTTACCATCCCTCCCTCCACCTAACATCTGGCCCTTCCTGACTTAAGCAACCCTACTGCCCATCTTCTATTACAGCCAACAGCCTTCTTAGTCATCCCACACATACTGTTCTGTTCCTGCTTGGAATGTTTTCTCCATCTCTATCTCTCCAACTCCTACTCATCCTTCAAAGTCCATATCGTACTGCACGTCTTTTAGTAAGCCTGCTCACACTGACTTTTCACTATTTGTTGTATTTGCTCAAGTACTGGTAGGCCCTGTAATGTTCTGTAGTTGTCCAAGGTATAGTTGTTTTGCTTCCAGAACCTGTTTGTAAGGTACTCCTTGGAGATATGCTTTCCTTCTCTGTTACCATGCCTATCTTAGAAGCTAGCCCAGAAGAAACTTGGTAGGTGCTGATTAAAAGATTAGTGTGCAAGCCAAGGAGCTTGTGCACAGAAGTGTGTGTTACCTGGCCCATGAAATCTGTGAAGAAGAGCATGTTGGACAGGAAGGCAGTCCATCCAATGAGGTGGCTGATGCAGAGGCAGCGGTAGTGGGAAGGCATGCTCACCAGTGCCTTCAGCAGTGACTTCATGGTCATTGCCCTCTGAGCCTGAAATAAAACACGACGCACAGGTGTGATCTTCAGTGCAGACGCCAGTCAGCTGCAAAAGCCAGAACACATGGCCATGCTGCATATCTGTCACTTGGCCATCACAGAGGGTCACTTTTCCTGGACCTGGCACCTAGGTTTCCATGGAGTGGACTCATAGGAGATGCTCATGAAAGCAGCAGTCAAGAAATCAAATCATGTATTGCATAGGGCAAATCTGCTGCAAAAGACCTCTTTAAAGTTTTAAAAAGCAAAGATGTCATTTTAAGGACTAAGGTGTGCCTGACCCAAGTCATGGCGTTTTCAATCGCCTTATATGCATGTGAAAGCTAGACAATGAATAAGGAAGGCTGAAGAAGAACTGATGCATTTGAATTACGGTATTGGGGAAGAATATTGAATATACCATGGACTGCCAGAAAGCTGAACAAATCTGTCTTGGAAGAAGTACAGCCAGAATGCTCCTTAGAAGGCAAGACTGAGACTTTATCTTACATATTTTGGACACATTATCATGAGGTACAAGTCCCCAGAGAAGGACATCATGCTTGGTAGAGTAAAGGGTCGGAGAAAAAGAGGAAGACTCTCCATAAGAAGGACTGACACAGTGGTTGCAACAATAGCCTTAAACATAGCAACGACTGTGGGGATGGTACAGGAATGGGCAGCATTTTGTTTTGTTATACACGGGGCCACTATGAGTTAGAACCAACTCCATAGCGCCTAAAAACAACAAGCAGTTTTAGGCCTAGAAGAGGGTTTTTGTGATCTAGGGAGAAGGTAGATGGTTCTTGCTTCAGGCCAGGATATAAGAGGTAACTAGCATCCAATCTTTGAATGACCAAATGAGCTTGGAAGCAGATTCTTCCCAGATCTTCTAAATGCAGTTCTTCTACACCTTGATTTCAGCCTTGTGAGAGCCTAAGCAGAGAACCCAGTTGAGCCCACTCAGACTTCTGACCAACAGAGCTAATTAATAATGAGTGTTGTTTTAAGCTGCTAAATTTGTGGCAATTTGTTCTGTGTCAATCTAAAACCAATACGGAGAGCCAGTGGATGTCCTGCTTTTGGATTTCCTCCAGAGCATTCCTCTGGATCCAGCCTCTGCTGACACATCTAAATGAGCCTTATGTTTACTCAGAAGTTATCTTAGTTGCCTAGTGCTGCCATTACACAAATACCACAAGTGGGTGGCTTTAAAGAACTGACATTTATTTTATCAAAGTTCAAGAAGCTAGATGTTCAAATTCAAGGTGTGGCTCTAGGGGGAGATCCTGGTATCCTCGTAGAAACCTCTGTCTCAGTTGTCTGTCTTCTTTTCTCCGTGTGTGTGTGTGTGTGTGTGTGTGTGTGTGTGTGTGTGTGTGTTTGTGTGTGTGTGTATGTGTCTATGCTGCTGTTTGCATAACTCAGAAGTGATTAGGTATAGGATCCACCTTACACTGGTATGACCTCAACTGATTGATTACATTATATGAAATTGCTATATGGAAGATAATTACATTAGATTACATTATGGTAGGTGATTAAATTCAATTATATCAAATGTAAGGTAATTAATTTACATTAGATTATATCCACAGGTAAAGGGGTTAGGATTGAACAAATACTTTGGGAGGACACAATTCAATCTACAACATTCCACCCTTTGGCCTTCCCCCCAAATTCATGTTCTTCCTACATGCAAAATACAATCACCCTGCCACATAAGTGAAAGCAATGTAGAACTTAAAAATAAAAAATGAATACATAGCCCCAAATTCTTTAATTTAGACTTGAATTATGTTAAAACCAGAGGCTGCAATTTTTGGGTAGCAGGAGCCTTGAGAAAATAAGAAACCTTGAACTATTGACACAACTGTTTTGAAATACAAAAAGCAAAACAACCTTTAACATTTTGTCATTACAAGAGAAGAAAAAAGTCTCAGGAGTATTAAGCAGTCAGCTACCCTGAAGAAACTGAGAATATAAACATCAACCACGGTGAGTTGATGGGTCTTTCTTATCAGATTTTTATTTATTCTGAATCTTGACATAATGAAATTGAGCCCTGGCTAGTTTATTTACCAGAAAGTCTCCTGAGATGTTCTATTTTAACTATAACAGCATATTATTTTATAACTCTTAATCTCTTTCTTCTTTGTGGAAATTTGTATTTATGCATTGTAGGCTTATTGTATAAGTTGATTTTTTAATTCATTCATCTTGTGGTATTAACCCATTAGCCATGACTGTACTGATTTTCTTAGACTTAATTAGTATTAGAAAGCATAGCCATTTCCTTGGAATTAGGAAAAGTACTTGTTATCTGCATATGTCAAAATCAAGGCTGGGGATCTGCTTCTGAAAGTTCGCAGCTTTGAAAACCCTGTTGAGCAGTTCTGCTCTGCACACATGAGGTAGGAGTTGACTCGACAGCACTAACAACAGCATGTCAAAATAAGTGGTGATTGCAACAAAAATGCCATACAGAATCACTACTTTTTCCTTGACTACAAGAAGAAGCAGTTAAAGGCACAGACCAGGGAACAACAGCCTGGTCTTCATGCCTCGGACTAAGTGATGTAGCTTCACTTTCCCTTCTCTCTCTCCAAAAATACACAATTAAAAATGGAAGCCTGGCTGGCAAGTATTCATCCTCATGGCAAGTATTAATGTATGCTCCTGCCTTATACATAATTTTCAGCCTGCTTTCATTGTTAACCTAACTTTTCCCTTCTTCCAAAAATATGAGCTTTGAAATTGTGCCTAGTACTTCTGTAAAAGCCAGGAAGGTAAACAATCAAAGCCCCTTTGGATATTGTAACTCAGAATAAAAATTCAGCTGGCATCCTAACCTTGACTTATTAATTCCGTTGGTAAAGCTCTTTCAACTCAATGGTTTTGAGCCCTGGGAGCTGTATTACTATATGTACTGTGCACCATTGAGAGCTGGAGACTAAGTGGTGATGCATTTATGAGTAGAAAAGGCACAGAGCCATCAGGGGCAGAGAGAACTTCCCAGAAATACACAATTTAAAACTCAAAAGGAGATGATTTAAATGTTGAAGGAGGTTGTTGATGGCACAGAGGAATTAAAGATAGATTTTATGGAATTTAATTTGAACCATGAAATAACTCAGGTCTCTTGCTATTAAAAAAACAAACAAACACAATTCTCAAGCTGCAGACCAAAAAAAGAACCAAACTCATTGCCTTGAGTCAATTCTGACTCATAGCAACCCTATAAGACAGAGAAGGACTGCCCCATAGGGTTTCTAAGGAGCGGCTGGTAGATTCGAACTGCCAACCTTTTGGTCTGCAGCCATAGCTCTTAACCAGTGCATCACCAAGGCTCCTCAAACTGCAGAGCCACCCTCATTTTGGAAAGTAATGACTTTGACAAACAATGACATCAAGCCCTGGCCTTGACCTAGTGTAGACTCCCACTGCTTACCTGGAGGCCTCCCAAGATGCACATTTGGAATAGAAGAAGTGTCTGATGCTTGGCTTTGGGCCTAAGATCTGTTACTCTGGTTTTTTGTTTTATTTTTCTTTTAATAAACCAAACAACAAAATCATCCAGAGCCTACGGTGTCGTGTATGTGGCGTGTATTGGAAACTTAGTTGTATTGCTGTATGTGATGAATTTATTTTCTTACTGTTGTTGTTGTGTGCCATTGAGTTCCATCTCCTAGCAACACCGAAAGACAGAGTGGAACCGCCCCATACGGTTGACAAGGCTGTAATCTTTAAGGGAGCAGATTGTCAGGTCTTTTCTCCCGCATAGCCGCTGGGGTTCGAACTGCCAACCTTTCAGTTAGCAGCTGAGTGCTTAACCATTGTGCCATGAGGGCTCCTATTTTCTTACTAGTGTGGAGGAATTATGCCTTTCAAAAGGCTTCCATCTATTTAATGACATTTGATCCTCACAATAGCCTGTGAGTTGGACTAGGCAAGCCCTGGGCCATGCCGTGATCTGGTAGCCTTGAGGAGGTGACTCTTTGAGTGCAAGTGTTAGGGATAATGTAGGTGGTGCAAAGGGTTGGCAGTTTGAACCCACCCAGTGGTACCATGGAAGAAAAGTCCTGGCGATCTCCTTCTGTTAAGATTATAGCCAAGAAAACCTTATGGATCAGTTCTACTCTGTAATACATGGGTTCACCATGCATCAGAATTGGCTCAATGGCAACTGACAACAACATCTACTTACCTTCAGAAAACCTTGCCTTGCTTTGTTTCTTAAACCCTGACATTAGTTTTTCCTTATTGTCAAATTAATACTTGTTCATGAGAGAAATTATGGATATACTGAAGAGTTTAAAAAAGAAACCTAAAAGTTCCTGTTAGTCTATCACCCCCCTCAAAGAACTTCACTTAACATTGTTAGCATATTTCCTTCTCATTTTTTCCTTGCATATGTGTAACTTTTCTGAAAACGGAGATCATTTTGTATATGTGTGGGTGTATTACCTAATAAGTTCAAAATAAATCTTCAAAAACACACACACCTTCTAATGACTACATGGGTCCCATCATTCAGATAGTCCAGGATTCCCATGTAGCTTTGCAGAATTGCACCACCAGGGGTCTCCAGTCTAACTAGAAATGATAGAACCAGAGTTCTGATTTGGTAGAGAAGAAAGGACAAGGAGTGTGGGTGTTCTTTCCCAGGCAGCTTGGGGTAGGGAAAGGTGGTCTAGCCAGGTCTCAGGAGACCTGTTAATGTTGTTAGCTGCAGAACGAAAGGCTGCCAGATCCTGCCAGATCCTCTATTTTCAGTTTTACAAACTCTGTGATCAATTAAACTACTTATACTTACCCCCAAACATCCCTCATGTTTTTTTTTTTTTTTTTAATTTTTAATACCTGTGGTTTGCTGACACTATTGTCTCTGCTAAAAGTACTCTTCCCACTACCTATCCAAATCCTAACCTTCATTCAAGGCTAAACTCAAAGGTCACCTCTTCCATGAAGCCTTCCTCTGTTTGCTTAGGCACCATCTCTCCCTCTTGTGAGACCAGCAGCAGTTATTATGTTACTTGTGGCAGCCACAGAACCGTGCCATTGAGATCTCCTGCTGCTGGGAGCATAGTTACTGACAGCCATAACTCCAGGCCCTCTGTATCTACCACCCGTCCGCTCCAAGGCTACAGTTTCCATGGGTTGCTCCTGCCATTGCCTGAGCAAAGTGGGGTTCTAGTGCCAGCCTGTTCCTGCAAGACACAGAGCTCCTCTAATTGGCAATTTTGCCTCGAGGACTCCACATTGGCCTGGCTGACACTTCCTGAAAACTGCATTGCAGTCTGAAACGCTTCCTGCCCAATTCTCCTTCCTTCCTCCTCTCCTTTCACAGGTGTTTGACCTACATCATGATATGAAGACCTTCTTTTTCTATTCCTACTTCTTCCCCTTTATCCTTCTTCCTAAGTAAATCTCTCGCATATCTAATCTAGTCTTGGTGTCTGCTTCCTGGAAAACCTAAACTGATATGTTGCTTTTACAGCACTTACCATATTCTACCTTGGATTATGATTATTGGTATAAATGTCTCATACCCCCTACTCGGCTGTAGAAACATAGGACATTAATCAATTTTACGGTCTTGGGCATAGGGACTGGGCATTAGTCAATTTTATGGCCCTCAAATACTTAGTACAGTACTTTGCACATACACAGTACTCAAAGCAGTTTTTCAAATAAATAATGATTATAATATGCTTATATACTGATATAGGAGCCCCTGAGTAGTGCAAACGGTTAAGTGCTCTGCTACTTACTGAAAGGTTATCAGTTAGAATCCAACCAGAGGTGCCTTGGAAGAAAGGCCTGGTGATCTACTTCCAAAAATCAGCCATTGAAAATCCTATGGAGTATAGTTCTACTCTGATGCACATGGAGTCACCATGAGTGGCAACTGAATCAACAGCAAATGGTTTTTGTTGTTGTTGTTGTTGTTATATACTGATATAAAGTATCAACAATGCCAACCAGAGAAGTCAAGCTCACTGAACTTGTTCAAGACTTCTGTTAGAGGAGAGATTGTGTCAGGTCCCTGTTTGTGCTTAGAGTTCTCAGCATTCTGCTAGTCTCATAATAACAACACCTGTATCTAACACCTTACTGTGAGGGGGAGGGGGGCACCATACCTTACCTAACACCTAACTTACTATGTGGAGGGCACCACTCTAAGTAAATTTACCTGGATCACCTCATGTAGTCTGCATAGAAACCCTGTCGGTAGACAGAATTACTTTCTCATTTTACAAAAGAGGAAACTGAGGCACAGAGAAGTTAAGCAGATTGCTCGAGGTCCTACATCCCAGAGGTGGCAGAATCAAGATTTGAACATCCATACTCCTAACCTTTAGGCTGTCCTACAGCAGGTGCCCAATAACCGTTGAAGGAAAATACTGGTAAGCCGGCGAGAAGAACCAAGATTTGAATCCAGGCCTTCTGACAATGTCTTTGCCGGTGCAGAAGTCCTTTGTACCATATCCCTGAGAGATTGGCATTTGAATTCAGCTTAAAGGAGGATGCAGCTGTTACATCAGTGCTGTCCAATAGAACTTTCTGTGACAATGGCAATATTCTCTATCCGGGCGGTCCTATCCTTGCATGGCCCCATGTGGTTATTGAGATTTGAAATGTGGCTAGTGCAACTAAGGAACTGAAGTTTTAATTTTATTCAGTTTTAATTTTAGTAGCCCTAAGGGGCTAGTGGCTACTATATTAGTCAGCATGGTTCTAGATTCTTCTCTGACCATTTCCTCATAACCTGGTCCCATTTCTCTGGCATTTCATTGAGTCTTCTTTAAATTATTAAGCTAATGAATTCACAGTGCAGTTCATGGGAAGTGGCCTAAAAGGGGCAACCAATAAACTCACGAATTCAACATACAAATTCAACATGTCTGACCCAGTCACCAAACTAGGGATGCTGCCACATGGAAGAACAGATTTGTAATCCAAATTCAAGAGGTTAAGACACTTCCTCTGGCCTGAGGATGGTTCCAGGCTTCTTTTATGCTCACACCTTCCAGAACTGGCCTCATCTTCGCTGGTACAAGACTCTGAAAGGATGAGAGACCCGAGGGCCAAGGAAAAGGCACATATTTTCCTGAAGTGTAACGTTTAATGCCAAAGGGTAATAGCTAACGGGAATCTGGGGATTCAATTAGACTTCACAAAACTCTTCACATCATACGAACAAAACAAAGGCAAAGAATAATAACCAAAAAAGAAAGAGAGAAAGGGCAAGGACAAGAACGCTTTTTCCAAGCGAAGACAAAGGAATTTGCATCTTTACCTTTTCAGCAAGATTTTTGTTTTTTCCTCCCAGCATTGCCAGCTCTGGGTTTACATAACCGTTTTTCACTTTCTCGATAGAACCATACTCAAAAATTTTGTCTGATGACAGCAGAGGGTTCTGGGGGGCTTTTTGTGGGGGAATATCCTTTGCAATATCTCGGATTGGAGCTTCAGGGATACTGCACAGGTGAATAATAATACACAACGTCAGCACCAAGGCAGAGAAGAAGAACATGACCTGAAATTCCGTGCCCAACACTCTTCCCAGTTCCAGGTGGGCCCAGTCTATGGCACCCAAAAGGTAGCCCAGGGCACCTCCAAAACCTGAAAACAAAGAAAGAGCTGTGTTAGACTTTTTAGCAAACTGTCTTCCTTTTCCATTGTGCACGGGCCCTCCCCTTCAGTGGGTCAGCCCGCTGAGGACAGTAGAGGCAGCCTGGCTGTGACGGGAGAAGTAACACAGTGAAAGGCTGAGAGACCTGGAGCTGGGCAGCTTGGGTTCAAGTCCTGCTCTAGTATTTGCTTGCTGTGATCTTGAGCTTCCCTACTTATAAAATGGGGTGATAATGAAACAGTGACCTACTAGTAGGCTCATAATTTGAAAATGGAAAATGCTCAGAATAGTACAAGATACATAGTAAAAAAAACAAAAAAACAAAAAACAACCCATGACTGTCAAGTCAATTCCAACTCATGGCAACCCCATGTGTTACAGAGTAGAACTGCCCAACCATTCTCGTAGGGTTTTTTCAGCTGTAATCTTTATGGAAGCAGATTGCCAGGCCTCTCTTCATCAGTGCCACTAGGTAGGGTCAAACTGCCAACCTTTAAGTTTGTAGTCAAGGGCAAACCATTTATGCTCCCTTGGGACCTAAGACACACAGTAAATGCTGATACTGCATTGTGGCGTTTCCAAACTACATTTGCTTCAATGCTTTTCAACTAAATTCCTGACCTGAAAGAACCCCACAGAAAACTAATTTTTGCCAGCAATAAGATAAAATGGTTTGTATTGTTGTTTGTCTGTTAAGAAGCTTCCTAGGAAAATGCAAGGTTGCAAAGATCAAACAGCTCTGGAAGCTGTCTTCTTTCCTCTATTAGAAGCTCCAGGTACTTGTTCCCCACTGACAGCCACAGGAAAAAAAAAAAGAACAAAAGTTTGAGCAAAAATTGTTTTAACATCCTGTTATCAGCTTACAGGACTCCGATCTGAAGTGTTTCTGGTACTTGTTTTATCTGCTTATGTTTAAACATGGTGTGACCTCAGGGACACCAAGGAAGGGCTCCTCAAAATAGGTCCCCCTCATGGTCTAATATCTGAAATCTCACTATTAGTGAGGCATTCTTTGAGTTCCTGTCTTCAATGCACCTCCTCCTGGGGTGGTCATTGCTCTACTTGGTTCCAAAGTAGTAAGTGCCCCTCAGCGGTTCCTCCTAGTGGCAGACATCAGTGGTTTCTTCTGAGAACACCAGGGTGAAATCGGGCATGCCATGGAGTAGGAGGATATCTAGGAGTCAGGAGATAGAGGCCAGACAGCTGCTCCCTATGCCACAAGCTTATGTAGGGCTGATCCTCTGTTAAAAACCTTTAAACACCAGCCTCCTGTCATGCATCATTACCAAATGGTACCTGGGCAGGTCATTAGCTTTTTTTTTTTTTTTTTTTTGGCTTATGAGTGACGTCTCCTTTTACTTCCCAGATAAAGACAACATCGCCACAAACCAGGGGATCATGGAAGAAAACAGAACGTAAGGAATTCTTTCTCTCTAACCCTAAGCAGAGGGCAGTGTTGTTCGGCAGTAGAATTCTCGCCCTCCATGCGATAGACCCGGCTTTGGTTCCCAGCCAATGCACCTCGTGTCTGCCAGTGGAGGCTTGTGTATTGCTATGATGCAGAACAGGTTTCAGTGGAATTTCCAGACTAAGACTAGAAAGAAAGGCCTGGTGATCAATGAAAACAACCCTAGGGACCATAATGTTCTCATCTACAACCTATCATGGGATGGCACAGGACCATGGAGGCTGAGCACAAGGAAAACCAACCAGAAAAACACTTATACTCTGTTCAAAGACAGAAGACACAGGCAGATCTGGTATTGCCTTAGATTTACAAACTGCCTTTTCTCTTAAAATATGGTGAGATGATATGTTTAAAATATTAACCAGTGTTTCTGCCCATCCACCCTCCTCCTAGTATTTCCCGCTGGACACTTCCTTCACATCCAAGCTGGGCCAGGATGCCTCATTGCTTCAGGGACAGGATGTGACAGCAGAAAGCAGAGAAATAAGAATGTGTTTCTTTGCTTCTGAGTTTCAAAAGCCCGCAGGCTCCACGGGGAAGGGAAAGGACTCATGGCATAGACAGCAGAGTCAGTAGAAAACAAGACATAACTTTCCAGACTAGACATGACTTTCTCAAGCTGGAGGTGAGGGAGGGGTGGAACGTCCATGATAAGTGCACACAGACCAGTGAATGTCTAAGGCAGTGGTGGTTTTTGCTCCCTGCTCCTTGGTTCTAGCCGGGGTTGGAGTGTGGCGCAAAGAGGGGGTCGGGGGGGGGGGGAGTAGAACCCCCAGAAGGCTTGTGGGATCCAAGAGCACAGGAGAGAGACTGGTACCTCATTTTCTGGACAGACTCCAGAGAGGCAACAAAACTTCAAGGAAGAAATGGCTGTGTGGTGAGTCTAGACAGATGAGCTCATTATGTGGCTGGCTTTATTCTAAGTGCTTGACACATATTGAATCATCCAGTCCTCGTAACAGCTCTTTGAGGAAAGTACAAATTTCATCTCTGTTTTAGAGACAAGGAAACCAAAGTACTGAGAGATTGGTATTTACAGAGTTCACATCATGCTGACATGGTGTGGGGGGAGAATGGCTAAGAGGGAGCCCAAGAAAGCTGTGGTCTTGAAGGGACCTTGCAGACAGGAATGAGGGATGGCTCAGTTGTGATCAGCTCAGCCTGACCAATGATATAATGGGCATCTCGGTAAACACCAGTATGAACCCAAACCAAGCCAGCTGCCATTGAGTTAATTCTGACTCATGAAGACTCCATGTGCATCAGAGCAGAACTACATTCCATAAAGTTTTCAACGGCTCTGACCTTTTGAAAATAGATCACCATGCCATTCTTCTGAGGTGCCTCTGGGTGGATTTGAACCACCAACATTTCAGTTAGTAGAGGAGTGCTTAACCATTGGCTCCACCCAGGGACACCCCAGTATGAACAGATGACACTAAAAACCAAATGCTCTCCCACCCCCGCAGACTTCACGCTGTAAATCCTCCAGAACTTTGAGGCAACCTTTGAGGAAAGAGGTGTGAGAACATAACGAATTGACTACATTTTCACCATCCTGGGGCAATCAACTCAAAACAGAAGCAGTTAAATTAAATTTGCGGTTTGGGGTTCACACCCATTTTAGACACAAAAATGCATCTAATATTTTCATCTCTGAGTATAAGCTATGCTATAAGGTAGAAAATTTGCAGTAAAGCAATGCCAAAATCATATTCTCTTCCAGTTAAACAGATGGATGCAGAGATCTGGTGGGTGTGTTCCCAGAGTCAGCGTAGGTGCTGAGATTGCAATGTGTGTCCCTGCTGAAAGCTACTAACGCTGTGCTAATGGGTGCAATGCACTAATGGCTCACACAGAGCGTTCACTTTAACTATCCCATAATTATCTGAAAGCAACTTTTTCAATTTGAGCATATTAATGTGACCATTGCTCCCCTAGTTCAGATAAGGGTCTTGAAACTTGCCATTTTCTGACATGACTCATCAAATCTGACTCTTGTTTCTTCTTTTTGCGTAAGAGTTAGAAATAATTGCACAGTTAAGTCATTTATTAATTGGCCTGGTTCTAGAGCCATCTGTGGCTACCTTGAGTTTTCTGTTAAGTCTGCAGAACTAACATTTTTAATTCTGAGTTGTAATAGCGCATTGCACAGTAAGGTAAATTGTTGAGTGGTTTTGCAGAATGCTTTAGCTCCTCCTAGTGTTAACCAGAAGGAGCCCTGGTGGCACAGTGGTTAAAGTGCTCGGCTGCTAACCAAAAGGTTGGTGGTTCAAACCCAGCAGCCGCTTAGTGGGAGAAAGATGTGGCAGTCTGCTTCCGTAAACAGTTACAGCCTTGGAAACCCTATGGGGGCAGTTCTACTCTGTTCTACTCTGTCCTATAGGGTCTTTATGAGTCGGAATCAACTCGATGGCAGTGGGTTTGGTTTTCATGGTAACCAAGGTGCACAGAGTACATATGCTAGAGTAAAAATGCTCAGGACTAGAAATCATGAACTGAGTAGGACAGCCTTGTGTACTACTGCAAAGCCTCATGGTGCCATCTTGCTCCAGCTGCTGCTGCAGTGACCAGTGCCAATCAGACTTTGCCAAAGGATCCCACACACTTGTGGGGTTCAGCACTCATACAAGGAAGGTTAACACTCGTGGAACCATACTTGGTCACTGTGGTCTGGAACCCATAAATTAATCTTACTCACTTTATCCTTCAGAGGGAGACTTCTGAGATGTATTTCATAAGACATCTGCCTCAGGAGGTCCTGGTAAGATGGAGGGTAGCTGTCTAGAGCAAAGGCCAACTCTGTAAAGCTTCTTATATTAGTTTTCCCTGTTCCACTCCACTATTTCTTCTTGCTGGCTGGAATCCCTTCCCAAGTAAACTATCTGCACGCAAACTTCTTCTAGGCTCAGCTTTTAGGGAAATCCAGACTGATAGGAACCATGTCATTGGTTGGTGGTTGGTTGATTGGGTTTTGCCCCGATCTGCCTCTAACCAGCTGTGTGACCTTGGGGTAGTCACTTCACTTCTCAGCAACACAGCTTTCTCGTAGGTAAAATGAGGATCATAAAATAAAGTATTTATTCCACAAATATCCATTGAGCACTTTTCATATCCAGGCACTATTCTAAGTACAAGGAGCCCTGGTGGCACATTGTTAAGTGCTCAGCTGCTAACCGAAAGGTCAGTGGTATAAACCCACCCAGAGATTCCACAGAAGAAAAGACCTAGTGATCTGTTCCATAAAGGTTACAGCCTAGAAAACCCTATGGGGAAGTTCTAAGTTCTACTCTGTACTATAGGGTTGTTATGAGTTGGAGTTGACTAGAGGGCACACAAGACTTCGCATATCCCTTAAAAAAGTGTAAAGGAATTATGATACTGTTGTTGTTAGGTGTCCTTGAGTCAGCTCTGACTCATGGTGACCCCATGTGTATAGGGTAGAACTACACTCTATAGGGTTTTCAAGGCTGTAACTTTTTGGAAGCAGATAACCAGATCTTTCTTCCAAGTGCCTCTGGG